AGGGCCTGGAGTCTTCTGTTCAGGCGCCCTGCACATCATCTTCCTGGGGCAGCAGAACCAAACCTACTGAAGGGCAGGCCGGTCTCTCCTTGGGCTGAAACCCAAAGCTTGGTGAGCATGAAAAGCAAACGGTTTCCAAGGTATTGCGATGAAGGCCTCATGAACAGGTAAGGCCCAAAGCAGTAGATTTTCCAGGACCTCGAGGCGCAGGGCAAGCTTGACTCATTTGCCTGATGTCAAACTAAACACCTACAGGGAAAAAAAAATGAAGGTAGGTAGGGTGGCTTTCTGTTTGTTTGCTTCTTTTTATTTATTTAAAATTTTATTTATTTATTTGTGTGTGTGTGTGTGTGTGTGTGTGTGTGGCCAGCTCAGCCCACCAGGGGGCGGGGCTGGCTGGCATGTGGTGCTGGGGGATTGGACTATGGTCCCTGTGCTTTGCTAAGCTTGTTCTAAGTAGGTGCTTTAGACCACTGAGGCATCTCACCAGCCCCTGTTTGTTTGCTTCTTTCAATCAGATTTGATTGGTACATTTTAGATATACATAATGGTCACATTCACCATAGAGAATTTGTACTTATACTTGATATTACTTTTCTATTTTTTCCCATCCCCCTTTCCTCTCTTCAACCCCCTTTACCTCCCCATTTACAAAAGCTTTGTTTCTTGCTTTGTTTACTTTTTCCTTCTTTCCTTTCCCCATCTCTCCTCTCTTGTTCTGCTCTTCATTTGAACTTTTTTTTTCCATTTCAAAATATCTAGTATGCATTTTGATCTTTATTTACACTTTCGATTTCTCACATCAGAGAAACAATGTGGTGTTTACACATGTTTGTCTGATTTATTTCACTTATGAAGATGAGTAGTTTTGTTTTGCTTTATTATAGTGATCTGTAACATTGCAATAGACAAGCAAAACCATGTCTGCTCTCAGGTTGGACTGGTTTGTCCTGTAGGCAGGTTGAGCCACATACCATACACCTTTGGTTAATAGGGTGGGTGAGCTTGGATCTACATTCTGTGAGCCTGGCTTCAAAGCTTCCCAAGACCTGTGGTTCTCCAACTTTGGTATTTATCTGAATCTCCAGAAAGTAGGCTGCTAGGCCACACTCCCTGAATTTCTGACTCAGAAGACCTGGGGTCGGGCTTTCAAACACTTCTCACAAGCTCCCAGGGAGGGAGATGGTTGCTGTTGCTCTAGATTAAAGATCTGCAATTCTGGCTGTATACTGAATTTAGAGAGCTTTAAAAAGAAAGTTGAGGGGCCAGGGAGATAGCTCAGAGGCATAAGTGTCTGCCTAGGAATTGCAAAGTCCTGAGTTCAGTCCCCGCTACAAAACAAAACAAAATGAAAATCAGTGCAGCTAATTCAATCAACATCTTTGGGGTGAGACCAAGCACTGCTCTTTTTCAAAGTTCTTTCTTTTGGGTCAGGTGACTCTGATGTGTCCTCACAGTTGAAGACACTAATCCAGAGTCCACTAGGCAGGCTGGCTCACTTGGAGGTGCCAGTTCTGCCACTGGAATGGGAACTATCTGCTGGGCTTTTACGACTTTGCCTCACGGCTCTGGTGAGAGTGCTTGGGACCCCTTAGCCCGTTGGGCCCAAGGCTCTCCTGCTAGGAGTAGCCCAGCTTCCTAGCCCCACATCAGGAGGGCCAGGTCCTTCCAGGGAAGCAGGTCTAGATGAGAACACTCTTCCTGGACCTGGGCTCAGGTCTGACTTCTACAGCTTTCTCCAAGCTCTTAGGGAGCAGGTTCCACAGTGAAGACTGGGAGGTGGAGTCACACACACACACACACACACACACACACACCCCCGGCCCCAAGATCTCTCTTCTGAAAAGAACAAGTGGCCCCCTTTTTTTTTTTTTTTTTTTTAACATTTATTTAGTGTGTGTGTGTGTGTGTGTGTGTGTGTCTGTGTGTTTGTGTGTGGCCAGCTCAGCCCACCTGGGGGCGGGGCTGGCTGGCATGTGGTGCTGGGGGATTGAACCGCGGTCCCTGTGCTTTGCCAAGCTTGTTCCAAGTAGGTGCTTTAGACCACTGAGCCATCTCGCCAGCCCCTGGCCCACTTCTTTTTAAGATCCTTCTGGGCCAACCAGATAGCTCAGTGGACTAAAGTGCCTGCTTAGACAGAGCACAGTGGCCAGCTGGGTTTGATCCCCACGTGCCATGCTGGCCCCACCCCTGGGGTGCGCTGAGACCATGACTGAGACTGGGCATTGTGGCACGCACCTGTAATCCCAGTGCTTGGGAGGCTGAAAACAGGAGAATCGTTACCAGTCTGATCTGTATAGTGAGACCCTGTAGACCCTGTCCTAACTACATGAGAGAGAGAGAGAGAGGGAGAGAGAGAGAGAGATCCTCATCAAGGTGGCATTGCAGCTGCCTCCTTCTTTACTTCCCATCTCAGATGTGGCCCTGTTGCTGAACCCAGAACTTCAAATGTATTCAGAGCTTGTCAGAAACAGAATTTGGCTCAGGTGTAGGGGCACATGTTTATAATAACCCCAGCACTTGTGAGGATGACAGGCTAGCCTGGGCTACACAGTTTAAGGCCATCCTTAAAGGACTCCATAAGCTAGATCCTAAATAAATAAATAAATAAATAAATAAATAAATAAATAAATAAAATATGGAAATGGAGATTTAGAACCCAAAAGGGTTTTTTGGACACAAACCAGGGAGTATGTTCCCCAAGATATTTTCCCTCATATTCTCCCTTCCCCCAGCCTGTCTTCTCCCTTCCCCCAAACAGGATCTTCTGGGGTTTTTAATCTTCTGACATTTGTTAACCACTTGGCAGGAGTTTGGTGCAAAGTCAGACCACTAGTTTCAAGTAGTGACATGTTTTTTAAAATAACACAAGTTTAAAATTTTTTATTTATTTATTTATTTTTGGTTTTAAATTTTAAAAGTGGGCCAGGGAGATGGCTCAGTAGGATAAGCGCTTGCCTGGCAAGTGCAAGGGTCTGAGTTCAATCCCCGGTTCCACCAAAAAAAAAAAAAAAAAAAAATTTAAAAGTTAGTTTCTCATTACTGAAAAAGACTTTCTTTTTCTTTTTTTCCCCCTCCTGTTCTTTGCTTTTTTTGTTACTTTTGTGAGACAGGGTCTTGCTATATAGTTCAGCCCGGCTTTGAACTCTTGAGGTTCCCCATGGTTGGCCTCAAACTCACACCAATCTCCCTACCTCAGTCTCCCAAGTGCTGGGATTACAGGTGTGTGCTACCATGCCAAACTTTTCTTTCTGTTCTTGACTTTTTTCCATTGCTGTATAACCAACACATAGAAAAAGGCCCAACATACAACTGGTGCCTGATAAATATTTGCTGCTTACTTAAATGACTAATAAAATTAATAGATAAATATTAATGAGTACATGGGGAGGATATTATTGCTTATAGACTCACCTGTCTTTCCTTGCAGGCAGAACCTCTACCACAACCCACACTTAGATCAAAAGATTCACATCTACCAGGTGGTGGTCTGTAGGACCCAACCATGTTATATATCTTGACTAGAGCCTATGGTTGTGGTTGCAACATCTGGCCCAGGGTTGGCCTAAATAAATACTTGATGAATGAATAAATGAATAAAAATGTAGGGAAAATCAGAGACCAAAAGGTCTCCAAAGAGATGAACGAAGACAGCAGATCAGTCATATGGAGGTTATTGGAATCAGAGAAGCAGCTCCAGATGCTGGGAAAGCCCATCCCATCAAAGTCTCTTCCCCTCCCAGGGACAGCTCAGAGCAATGCTTGCTCCTGAACAGGGCTCAAGAGGCATCTCTAGGGCAGAAGATTGGGCCTGGGAGGAGGCCCCATTGCTGAATCATTACCTAAAGGCTATGTATGACCAGCCAACCTCCATGCCCAGCCCAAGAGCAGTCTAAAAAACATCCTGTCAACAAGGGCCACTGTGTCCCACAATGTCAAGCTGCGAGCTGTCGCCTCAGCCATCAGAGGCAGACCCATGTACCCCAGATGGGCACATAGAAAAACTGAACACCTAGAATCCAACTGTTCCCCAGCACCTATGCTAGGCTGGGAGCTCTAGTCATTGAAGGGAAGAAGTGAAGTGAACATGGGATAAATGGAACAAAGAAAGTCCCTTTGTAGACTGTTGATGTCAGGAATCAGAACCTAGTGTAGTGTTGGTGACAGGAGTCAGAACCTAGTGCGGAGGGATGAAGGAAGGTGGGGTGTGTGGATGGGGTGGTTCCTACCTGTTTACAGTCTCAGTGGCCCACGGCCCAGAAACCACCCACCTCATAGGGCCTTCAAGGCCTTTTGACTCCTGACCCCAGCCCCAGGCCCTGAACACAGGAGGCTTACAATGCCAGTCGCCTGCCATTCACTTCTTAGTACATTTCCTCCTTCTCCTTCTCTGCCCACGTCCTAGGTATCCTGCAGACATGTTTACCCAGGAAGCAATTCTGCATCTCCATTCTTCCCGCCTAACCCCATGGGCTCTGCATCCCCTCCTCTTGGGCATTTCTGCTTGGCTCCCACAGTTTGTGTTTCTTTGGGTCACACACCCCAGTGTTCTTTGGGTGACACTCTTAAGTTAACACCATGTTCCTTCCCTCCTCTCACCTACAGGTCCTGAACAGTTGCGGCCTTGGGCAAGAACACAAGGCGCCATTCCAGGGTCACTTCCAAGAGTCAGTCACCACCCAACAAAGCCAGCTATGCCGGGTCAAGGGAGACAGGACCTGGGGTGCGCATGCAGTCCCCGCCAAAATCCTGTCCAACACAAGCCAAGCCATAGCCCAAGCCTCTGTTCTTTAGCCTTTGGACCCAGCCTAGAGCAGAGGGAGGTGGGGCCTTGGTATGGGCGTGGCCTCAGTGGAGCGCGAGTTCCCGTGGGCGCAGCCTCGGGTAGGCGGGGTCTCCGCGCCGGCGGGATCTCTATGTAAAGAGGTTTGGGCAGAGCGCGGTCTCCGTGTGGGCGTGGCCAGCAGGAGGGCGGGGCTTCGCAAGGGAAACTTGTCGGGCTAGCCTGGGGAGTATCGGTGCACTGAGCAGAGCGTCTCGAACCCCAGCAGTGCCCGCGACTATACCACTCGGTACCATGGACGGGACTCCCCACCGCGCCGCACACCGGCGACTGCAACTGCCCCTGCTGTGCCTCTTCTTCCAGGGCGCCAACGCCATCCTCTTTGCCATCTTCGTTCGCTACGACCACGAAACCGATGCTGCCCTCTGGCACTGGGGCAACCACAGTAACGCGGACCATGAATTTTATTTTCGCTACCCAAGTGAGTGTGGAGAGAGCGCGCGGCAGACAGACCCCACGCTCCTAGGTGTCCCAGGCGGGGGCTTGGGGGATCAGATCTCCCCTCTGAGGAAATGAAGGGCCCCTTTTATTAGGGTCATCGCGTTCCGGGTGCAGGGCTGAGGATGGAGCTAGCATCGTATTTAGCCCATGAGACAGACAAAGATGAGGCGCAGAAACGTTAAGTGACTGGTTCAGGGTCACAGAGTCAGAAGTAGGGGCACTGGAATTTGAACTAAATCTAAAGCCCTAGCTTTGATCCCTCCCTGTCTTCCTCCCATTCGACCTTTTTGTGCTTTTCGAGGGTGTTGAGAGCCTTTGTCTTTTTAGGGCTCCACCCTGAATACAGGAAAGAAAATCTTGCTCTCAGGAGGGATAGGAAGATGGTGCCACCTGAGGGCCCTAATGGCAGGGATTAGGTACTAAGCTTTCCCAGCTAGGGGCAAATTCTTACCTAGTACCCCAAAGCTGACCCTCTTCCAGAGTCAGGGAGGACCAGCTAAACACATAGCAGCAGCCTCCAGAAATGAGAAGGAGGCTTGGCAGGGTTATTGGCCTGTTTCACAGAGGAGGAAGTTGGGTCTCAGAGGACTTATAACCCCCACTATATGAGAGGCAGAACTGGAATCACTTGCTGACTGACACAAGACTCAGGAGAGGGAGGTTGCCCCTCCGGTGGATATGGAGACCCTCCGTGAAGGTTGCGGGGGGGAGGTTCTTTTTTTGTTGTTGTTTTGTTTTTGTAGTGCTGAGTTTCTTTCAGACTTAGCTTTCCATCCCTGGAGCACAACAAGAAGACAGCATGGGGATTTCTGCCTGCCTCCCTGCCTGCTTGCCTGCTTGCCTGCCTTCCTTCCTTCCTTCCTTCCTTCCTTCCTTCCTTCCTTCCTTCCTTCCTTCCCTCTCTTCCCTTCCTTTCCTTTGCAATGGGACATCTCTTCCCCTGGTACTGAGGATTGAACCCCAGGCCTCGTGCATGCAAGACATGGAGCTCTTCCCCTGAATTGCATCCCAGCTCCTACCTCTTTCTGTGCTCTAGATTGCCATCCTGAGGACTTTGATCCTGATGTGGGGGTTGTTGGGGCAGGAGAAACTTGTAAGGTCCCTAGAGCCAGGGGCTTTGATGAGTCAGCTTCTTACCTGTCCCTATGTCCAGGGACAGAGTCAGGGTCACAGGAAGGGTAGCCACGGCCCTTTGATTAGGGAGATGAAAGGGAACCTGCAGCTCTTGGCGAGCTCTGGTCTGGCCAGTGCCAAGGACAGGTCCACTACGAGGTCTGTCTGGTCTGTGCAGTATAGGCTTTCTCAAGCCATCTATGTGGTCTACGCCCTCTCAAATGTGTGGGGAGAGCCAGTAAGGTCCTGTGACCTGCCCAAGGTCACATGGCAACTTTTCAAAGGAGCCAGGCTAGAAGTAGTCTCTTGATTTCTACACTAGGGCTTTTACAAACACCTTTTTTTTTAATTCCTTGAAGCAAGTGATGGAAAAAAAAAAAGAAGGTAAAGAAGCCATGATGACAATAGCCGTGAATACAAATATGAGAACAGGTTCTAAGAAAGAAAAAAGGGGCCGGGGAGATGGCTCAGTAGAATGAGCACTTGCCTGGCAAACACAAGGGGCTGAGTTCAATCCCTGGTTCCACCAAAAAAAAAAAAAAAAGAAAGAAAGAAAGAAAGAAAAAAGAATATTTATTTATTATTTATTTGGTACTGGGACTGATCTGTGTCCCAGAATTTTTTTTTTTTAATTTTGAGACAAGTTCTTGCTAAATTGCTAAATTGTTCAGGTTGGGCTTTAAAACTTGAGATCTTCCTGCCTTAACCTCCCAGAGTTCTGAGATTACATGTATGCCTCACCATGCCCAGCTTTTTTTTTTCCCCAGCTAATTTTTTTTAAAAAAATATTTATTTATTTTGTGTGTGTGTAGCCAGCTCAGCCCACCAGGGGGCGGGGCTGGCTGGCATGTGGTGCTGGGGGATATGAACTGCGGTCCCTGTGCTTTGCTTAGCTTGTTCCAAGTAGGTGCTTTAGACCACTGAGCCATCTCACCAGCCCCCCAGCTAATTTTTAAAACTTATTATTTTTAGTTTGGGTAGTCTTTTTTTTTGGGGGGGGGTGAGACATGGTCTCACTATTTAGTTTGGCTGTCTTTGAATTTACTACATAGTCCAGGGTGACCTTGAACTCACGGCAGTCCTCCTGCATCAGCCTCCTGAGTGCTGGCACCACAGGTGTGCACTATTGGGAAGTCTTTTTTTATTTTTTTGGTACTGGGAATCAAACTCACAACCTCATGCTTGCCAGCAGGTGCTGTACCATTGAGCTCCATCGCTGGCCCAGGGCAGTCTTTTTAAGAGACATCTCGCTCTCGCAGTCTCAGTCCTTTTAAAGACCTTACTTGAACAGAGAGGGATTTAGATCGATGGATTCAGGATCTTCTTGGGAGGGGTAAAATATGAGGATGTGACCAAGACCATAGTGGCTTGTGAGCTCTTCTGGGACAATATAGTCAATTGTCCTGAAGCTAGTGGGAGTGCAGTTGGAGGACAGCCTTCCCTGCTCCTCCTTCCTTTTCTTTCTGCTTGCCTTTTTTTTTTTTTTTTTTGACAGGGTCTCACTATGTAGTCCAGGCTGGCCTTGAACTCACAGAAGTCCTCCTGCCTCAGCCTCCTAGGTGTTGGGATTACAGGTATGTACCACCATACCTGGCTTCCTGCTTCTCATATTTTATACCTAGACTTTACAGATGAGGTAACTGTGACTTAGAGAAGCCAAGTACGTGGTCTGGAGAAAGTCAAAAGGTCAGAATAGGATGGGAGGAGCTAGAGTTTCAATCCAGTTTGTCAGATACCAATGGTCTGCCTTTAACTGCTGCCTTGTTCCATAATCTTGAGCTGTCATTCAATACAGGAAGGAACAGTATGGGAAAGAGGGAGGGCAATAGTTTCTCCAACCAAAGTCTTGTGTAGGTTTGGGGGACAGGCTCCATCCCACCCCAGAGTGGCCACCAATGGGAGTGTTTACAGGTCACTTTAACTATCACCATCCCCAGCTGGAACAGCCCCTCAGCAGGCAGGGCTCAGGGAGAATCTCTGTGTGTAGGATGCCCTGGGGAGGGAGGTTGTTGATGTTTAGACTTCAGTTGAAAGGTCAAGAGACTGAGTTTTGATTCCAAACAAACTGGATAAGGAGATGTAATCATTATTGCCATTTAAGACAAGTTCTGGGCAGTATGTTTGACATGTTATGGGCTCAATGTCCTTTGTTATCTTGCTGTCCTTGGCCATGAGGACAGATGTGGCATCCGCTTTACTGTCTTACAAGGAGGTAAGAATCAGGCAGTGAGGCCCAAGAGAATTTAGGCTTCAGGCTCAGCTCTATGTGTTGCCTCCCTCTTCTGTTGGACTGTGAAATGAGGGTGCTTCTGGCGCAGGTGGGACTACAGAGCTGCAGGAGAATAGGGCTCCTTCGGTGAGGCCAGGAGGCCTCCTAACCTCACTGCCCTTGGCACTGGGGCTGGTAGCCAGGCTGCAGACCGCATGCTCTGGCAGACAGTCAACCCTGCACCTGGGAGCTAACTTTCTGCTCTTACACACAGCACCCAGAGAAAGTGTAGGAGACAGCTTCTCTTAAAGGTATTAATTAAATCCCAAAGTTCATTAATAATGTTCTGGTTTGTTGATGCCTCTTCAGATTAAACAAAAAGTGACCATGATTTTTTTTTCCTTATCAAGGAAATTTGAGGTAATTTACAACAAAAGTTGTGTATAGCTTGAATATTCCTTATCTGGAATGTTTGGGACTAGAAGTGTTTGGATTTTGGAATATTTGCATGGACAAAATGAGGTGTTTGCTGGAAGGGACCCAAATCTAAAGAAGAAATTTACTATTGTTTTATATATATCTTATGTACATAGTCTCCAAGTATTTCATACTATATATACATATATTTTTTTTCTTTTTTTGTGGAACCAGGGATTGAACTCAGGCCCTTGGGCTGGGGAGATACCTCAGTGGAATAAGTGCTTCCCTGAACTCAGGCCCTTGTGCTTGCCAGGGAAGTGCTTATTCTACTGAGCCATCTCCCTGGCCCCTTTATAGACTTTTTTTTTTTTTTCAGTACCAGGGATTAAACTTAGGACCCTGTGCTTGCCTGGCAAGTGCTTATTCTACTGAGCTATCTCCTCCATATTATATTTTTAAAAATTGAATACAATATTCTTAGTGTGTCTGCTTTTCTTTTTTTTCTTTTTTGGTATCAGGGCTCAAACTCAGGATGTTGTGTTTGCCAAGCAGGCGCTTATGATGCTGAGCTACATCCCTGACCTGTATGTCTGCTTTTCTCTCTCTCTCTCTTTTTTTTTTTTTTTTTGTGGTGGTGGTGGGGACTGAAACTAGGACCTTGTACATGCAACGCAAGAGCTCTACCACTGAGCCACATGCCCAGCCCTCGTTCTTTCTTCTTTCTTTCCTTTTTTCTTTTCTGGCTGTGCTGGGAATGGAACCCAGGGGGTTTACAATGGGTTACATCCTCATCCCTCATTATACTTTGAAACAAGGGGGCTGCGGATGTAGCTTAGCAGCACGAGCATGGCAAGTGCAAGGTCCTGAGTTCAGTTCCCAGTACTCCCCCCAAAATAGCCTTATATTTTAGAACAAGGTGTTGCTAAGTCACTGAGTAGCCCAGGCTGGCCTTGAACTTGCAGCAGTCCTTCTGCCTCAGCCTGCCTCCTGCGTGCTGGGATTACAGGCGTGTCCCCTGCCTTTGTTTTACTTTTTAATGAGGGATGGTACAGATTAGAAAGCAAACAAAAAGATCTTCTTGTGCAGAAACCCTGATGGCACACTCTAAGTCAAAGCGATTCAGCCAAGTTAAAATACTCAAACTATAGAAAGTAAAAACTAAGTCAGGTGTGATAGGACACATCTGTATTCCCAGCATTTTAGAGGATGAAACAGGAAGATCCCCAATTCAAGCTCAGGTTAGGCAAATTAATGATTTAGAGGCCGTGTCTAAAGATTAAATGGGCAGGAGAAGTAGCTCAGTGCAGAGGCCTTGAGTTTAATCCTCAATCCAAAAAATAAAACAGAAGGGGGCTGGTGAGATGGCTTAGTGGTCTAATGCACCTATTTAGAACAAGCTTAGCAAAGCACAGGGACCGCAGTTCAATCCCCCAGCACCACATGCCAGCCAGCCCTGCCCCCTGGTGGGCTGAGCTGGTCACACACACACATAAATAAATAAGTAAAATTTAAAAACAAAACAAAACAAAACGGAAGGGCTAGCCAAATAGCTCAGTGGATTAAAGCACCTGCTTATGCAAATGCAGGCACTGGAGTTCGATCCTGGCTTGCTGTGCTGGCCCCACCCCCGGGGTACACTGAGATGGAGATTGAGACTGGGTGTGGTAGTGCGCGCATGTAATCCAGTGCTTGGGAGGCTGAAAAAAGGAGGATCGCTATGAGTCCAATCTGTGTAGTGAGACCCTGTAGACTCTGTACTAAATACGTAAAAAAAGAAAAGAAAAAAAGGACAGACAGACAGAAAAAAGAGAAAGGTCCAGTGCATCTGTATTGAAGTTGGGCATACAGCAGCCCTACCCCTCCCTTCAATTCCATTCCCCCAAAATAATCTCCATTAACACTTTAAAGCTGTTTCCTAAATTATTTCTTTTAACTGTCCAACTGGAGGAGTGCAGACACTGATGGATGAGGGATGGAAGTTAGACATTCAGCAAGACTTCTTAGCGGGAAGGAAAATTGAAAAGAAAGCTAAACGGGAAGAAGGTCTTGAGCATGGGCAGTAGGGCACAGGTTGGACTGCAGCAGGGGAAGGTATAGGTTGGACTTTGGACTGGTCAGCTGGAGAGACTGAGGGCTAGGATGAATGAGTAGGGCAGAGAGAGAGAGAGAGAGAGAGAGAGAGAGAGAGAGAGAGAGAGAGAGAGAACTACAGCAGAAGGTTCTAATCCCTTGCCCGATACAGGAACAGCAGAGGTAGTTTGGGTTCCACTACCCCAAGCTGAGCAGCTCCATGCAGGTGCCTTGGAGCTAGAAAGGCCTGCCACGCCTGGGGAGTTTTATAGGCCTGGCCCCACCTCAGGGCAGCCCTGGCTGGTGAGAACCAGGGTGCCAGCAGGGTGGCCGCTTGGTTTATGGGTCAGGTGTAGCCAGAGCAGCCCATACCTCCATGCACCCACGCATCCCTGCACCCTACAGGTTTCCAGGACGTGCACACCATGGTCTTCGTGGGCTTTGGCTTCCTCATGGTCTTCCTGCAGCGCTATGGCTTCAGCAGCGTGGGCTTCACCTTCCTCCTGGCTGCCTTTGCCCTGCAGTGGTCCACACTGGTCCAGGGTTTCCTCCACTCATTCTACGGTGGCCACATCCATGTTGGCATGGAGAGGTAGGTCCCCGAGTCCCTGACCCTCCCCTGGAGTTGGCCAGAGGAGGGTCCTCGCTAAGCCCTGTCCTTCGAATCTGCTTCCTGACCCACTGTTGACCCATCCACTGAGTTCATTGGTGCCCTACCCAGTGTAATAACCTGACTTATCCCATTCTTGACCTCCACACTCAATCCTACTGCCTCACTTCTTTAGGGCCCCTGTCACCTAGAGCTCTTGAGTGCTAAGAAAGTGTGGTGGGAAGTGCTGGGTGTACAGCACCTCTCCATGCAGGTCCTGGTCCTTCCATCTAGTATGAGCTTGGTCAGCCAAGAAGGCTTGGCGTAGCCCATATGACCTCAGGAGGGAAGAGTTGGCTCCTGCCCCTAGCCCTTTTTGGTGTGCCCATTTCATGCCTAGCAGAGGCCCACAGCCACTCCTGCCCCTCTCCTCCTCTTCACACTAATCTCAGCATGATCAACTCTGACTTCTGCGCTGGGGCCGTGCTCATCTCCTTTGGCGCTGTCCTGGGCAAGACCGGGCCTGTGCAGCTGTTGCTCATGGCCCTGTTTGAGGTGGTGCTGTTTGGCATCAACGAGTTTGTGCTTCTCAATCTCCTGGGGGTAAGAGTCCGCACAGGGGTGGGTGTGGGCGTGTAGGGTGGTGTGGCTGAGGCTCTGAGGTGGGTGAGCTGTGGGCAGAGACGGGGCTGCCTCCTCCTCGGCTGCACCTCCTCAGGTGAGAGATGCTGGCGGCTCCATGACCATCCACACGTTCGGTGCCTACTTCGGGCTGGTCCTCTCCCGGGTCTTCTACAGGCCCCGGCTGGAGAAGAGCAAGCACCGCCAGAGCTCCATCTACCATTCAGACCTTCTTGCTATGATTGGTGAGGCCTGAGGAGGGGGAGTGACATGGGCACTGGCTCTAGATGCCTCCAAACAGGACAGGGGGCCTGAGGGTGTTGCCTGCCTACCATCCCATTTGGATTCTGCTCCCAGGATCCTGAGGTCTGCACTCACCAGGCTCAGCACTGGAATTCAGCTCTGGGGTGCACTCATGGCTCAGATCCATTCCCAGTGTTTTTTCTGACCCCACCTCACTCCTGCTTAAGCTTTTCCAGAGGCCCTAGGACCCTTGGATTGGAGCCTCATCCTGGGCACTGCCCTCCCTCTCTCCTCCCGCTCGCTCACCCTTCCTGCACACTCCAGCCAGACTGGGTCTGGTTTAAACCTTCAACTCCAGCCTGCCACAGGGCTGCATCCCCCCACCAGGGACTCACTGTACTCTTAAGCAGGGAGGGAGGGGTTTGGTCACCCAGAGAGCAGCAGGGTTTGATGTTGACCCCCAGCTGCTCCTAAGCAACTCCCTCTGCTCAGAGGGGGAGCCATGTGATTTCTTTCTTTCTTTTTTCTTTTCTTTTCCCTCCCTCGCTCCCTCCCTCCCTCCCTCCCTCCCTCCCTCCCTTCCTTTCTTTCTTTCTTTCTTTCTGGTGGAACTGGGGATTGAACTCAGGCCCTTGCGCTTGCCAAGGAAGCACTTATTCCACTGAGCTATCTCCCCGGCCCCTTCTCTTTCTTTCTTTCTTTCTTTCTTTCTTTCTTTCTTTCTTTCTTTCTTTCTTTCTTTCTTTCTTTTGATTTTTCATAGAATGTCTTGGGTGAGACTGCAGTGCCTCTTCTTGCATTAAAAAGACTACTTTTGCATTCCTCCCCCACCTCTGGGTGTGTTGTGAAAGACATTCGGAGGCTTCCTTGTCCCATGAGAACCAGATAAGCTTGGCTTGAAGGCAGGAGACCTCCCCAAGCTTTCCACGCATCCCTGGGAAGCTTCTGAGGTCTCCTCAGCCTCCTGGCTCCTGGCTCCTGGGTGTAAGTCACCCAGCAAGAACTCAGCCCTTGGGGCCAAGGGGATGGCTCAGTAGAATAAGTGCTTGCCTGGCAAGCACAAGGGCCTGAGTTCAATCCCTGGTTACACACACACACACACACACACACACACACACCCCAAAACGTAAAAAGAACTCATCCCTGGCCGCTTTCTTCCCCAACTCTCCCCCTAGAGACTGAATATGTGAGTGTGGCATGTCTTGCCCAGACTGTGGGCTTGCAGGTCTCACCCAGTGGGCCACTCAGGACTAAGGGGCAGTCCCTATGCCTCCTGCATTCTACCTCACTCTACAGGCCCCCACCCTTCTCCTTGTTCCTTGTCCCTGCCTTTCTGGCCCTCTATGGCCCTCTATAACTGTCCTGTGACCCTCACAGACAGGTGGCTTATAGAGCTGGCCCAGGCTACACAGCACACAGCACACAGCAGACAGGCCTTGTTAAGAGGAGACTGGGGGCTGGTGAGATGGCTCAGTGGTCTAAAGCACCTACTTAGAACAAGCTTAGCAAAGTACAGCGACCACCTCAGTTCAATCCCCCAGCACCACATGTCAGCCCGCCCTGCCCCCTGGTGGGCTGAGCTGGCCACACACACACACACACACACACATAAATAAAATTTTTTTTAAAAAAAGAGGAGATTGGGGTTATAAACAAATTGTTTTCAGGTATATACCAAGTACCTATCATAGTACCTAGGGTGTCTGGCCTTTGCCTTCTCTCTCTCTCTCTCTCTCTCTCTCTCTCTCTCTCTCTGTTATTTTTATTTTTGTGACTGTTTGAGACAGGATCTTGCTGCATAGTTCAGGCTGGCTTTGTAGCCCAGGCTGGTCTCAACAACCCTCCTGCTTTTTTTTTTATTTTTTTAAAGTTTTATTTATTTATTTGGCTGTGTGGCCAGCTCAGCCCACCAGGGGGCGGGGCTGGCTGGCATGTGGTGCTGGGGATTGAACCGCGGTCCCTGTGCTTTGCCAAGCTTGTTTCAAGTAGGTGCTTTAGACCACTGAGCCATCTCTCCAGCCCCCATTTTTTTTTTTTTTTTAAAGGCAAGATCTCATTATGTAGTTCAGGCTGGCCTTGAACTCACTATATACTCACTATGTAGCCCAAGCTGGTCTTAAACCTGGGGTAACAACCTCCTGCCTCAGCCTCCTGAGTGCTGGGATTACAAGCATGCACCACCATACCTGGCTACCCTCTGCCCTTTTCTTTTCTTTTTTAATTTAGTGCATGGTCTACAGGGTCTACAGGATCTCACTACACAGATTAGACTTGTAGTGAACCTCCTGTTTTCAGCTTCCCACGCGCTGGGATTACAGGCGCGTGCCACCATGACCAATGCCCAGTCTCAACTGCTGTCTCAGTGTGCCCTGGGGCAGGGCCAGCACAGTAGGCTGGGGATCAGACCTCCGACCCTGAATCTGCTTAAGCAGGTGCTTCAATCCACTGAGCTATCTGGCTGGCCCAACCCTTTCCTTTTCTGATACTTTCCAAAAACCTAACACTGTGGTTCTCCAAGTACTCCCTTTGTGCTAATGCCATTCAGTGGCTTCCAGAAAAGGAAGGTGCAGTTAGCCCCTTTGAGGATATGGACTGTGGACCTGCAGGTATTGCCTCCTTCAGTCCTCACTTCCTGAGGACCACCTCGTTGTCAATCCCATTTGGGAAGCCAAGCCTGGGGAGAGTGGATGGGTGGTTTGCATTACATATCTCGAACCCCTCACTGACTGCCTGCCCTCCATTCAGGGACCATCTTCCTGTGGATCTTCTGGCCTAGCTTCAATTCTGCACTCACATCGCTAGGGGACACGCAGCACCGGACAGCCCTCAATACCTACTACTCTTTGACCGCCAGCACGCTCAGCACCTTCGCCCTGTCAGCACTTGTCAGTGGGGATGGGCGGCTCCACATGGTATGTGGAGGAGCCTTGGGAGGCAGAGGGACAGCCTGGTACAGCAGAGGTCTGAGTCTCTGCACAGAAGTCTCCAGGGGCTGGGGCTGGTGAGATGGCTCAGTGGTCTAAAGCACCTACTTAGAACAAGCTTAGCAAAGCTCAGGGACCGTGGTTCAATCCCCCAGCACCACATGCCAGCCAGCCCCGCCCCCTGGTGGGCTGAGCTGGCCACACACACACTCATACACACACACACACACATAAATAAATAAAATTAAAAAAAAAAAAAAAAGAAGTCTCCAGGGGCTTCCATCGGCCCTGGTGGTGGTGGAGTAGAGGAGAAGGAGACAGTATGAAAGTAGGAAAGTTAGAGGTTAGATGGCAGAAGGGCTTCTGGAGGCAGTAGGTGTCACTATGGTGACACCCTTAGGTTGGGTGTGGGTATGAGTGTTGGAAAGAGGCTCCCACGCCCGATCCTGCCCTGTGCCCTTAGGTCCATATCCAGAATGCAGCACTGGCTGGAGGAGTTGTTGTGGGGACAGCAGGTGAAATGATGCTCACACCCTTTGGGGCTCTGGCAGCTGGCTTCTTGGCTGGGACAGTCTCCACACTGGGGTACAAGTTCTTCACGGTACAGTTGCCTCTTTGGCCCTGAGCAGAACATGGAATTGCTTTCCTCCCACCTCCCCACAGGCCCATGGTGGGGTTGGAAAGGGCACCTGAACCTGATTCTCCATCTTATCCTCCAGCCCTGCCTGGAGTCCAAATTCAAGGTCCAAGACACTTGTGGTGTCCACAACCTCCATGGGATGCCAGGGATCCTAGGGGCCCTCCTGGGGGTCCTTATGACTGCACTGACCACCCACGAAGCTTACGGAGATGGGTGAGTTTTCCCTTAGCCCACACGGCAGTCAGTATTTTCTGGAATGACTTCTGTCATGCTCCTTCGTGTTGTCTATTTTCACCCAGCAACCTGTCTGTGTGTCCATCCATTTATCCATCCACCCCATCCATCCATCTGTCCATCCTTTCGTGTGAGCCAGGGAGGCTGAAGAGAACAAGATGAAGTCAGGAACTTCCCTCCTGCTCAAGCATAATAAGAGATCATTGAACAAATGATTTCAGGACTGTTGAGTGTTACAAAAAAGGGTAGATCCTTGGGATCTATTTTGGGAATTCAAATCTTATAGGAGGGCAAAAGGGACCCTCAAATTGACACTTCAGAAGTGTATGGTGGGGCTAGGGCTGTAGCCCAGTAGTGGAAAAGTGTCTACTGACCCAGGAGGGGAGGATGTCCCCCCTGTGGGCTGGCAGAGCCCAAGGGCTGGGCATAAGCCCCCTGGAGACCATTCTGGCTGTTGGATGTCCACTGGTGTGAGTGCCTTACAATGACCAGCCCAAGCCCCTGCCCATCCTTGCCTTCCCACCTCCACTCCTAGTCTCACAATCCACTCTCCCTACAGCCTGGAGGACGTGTTTCCACTCATAGCCAATGGTCAGCGCAGCGCCACGTCACAGACCATGCACCAGCTCTTTGGGCTGTTTGTCACACTGGTGTTTGCTTTTGTGGGCGGGAGTCTTGTTGGTGAGTGACCTTGGGTGGGAGTTGGGAAGCTGCTAGAGCTCTCAGGAGAGAACACAGAGAGGGGGTTCTTTGGAGGAGGGACCCTGGGATCTTGTGCCCCTGACTCCTTTGCTTACTCACGGATTTATTGTGCCAGATATTAGCATGTGGCAGAGAAAGGGCAGGTTGAGGAGCTAGGACAACCTCCTTGGGGAGGAGAGATGCCCATGGATGCTTGTTCTCTTCAGACCCAGGCAAGCTGGGGCACCTTTTTGCGCTGCGTGGGTCCATCTCCTCCGGGCTGGCTTCCCTGTGCTGCTCCCTCAGCCCACTAGAGGGCAGCCCAGTCTCAGGCTGAGACCTGGAGGGGTTACTGCACAATCAGGCCTCAGCAGTAAACCAGCCTCAACACCTCCCAAAGAGTCAGACTGTCTTTGGGCCCTGGGCCAGGCAGTCCTTCCTGATGTCTAACCTTAATACTGAAACCTTATTCAGGATTCCAGAGAGTCTCATCCTCTAAAATTCAACTCATTTTTTTAGTAACTTAATTATATGAAAAATATTTCTTGAGCTTGTCCTGTGTAGGAGGACACAGAAGACTCCGTAGTTGTGGCTCCTGTGCAAATCAGTGATTTATTTAGCATCTGTGACCCTTGGTTTCTTTGTAACACAGTGATAATAATCACCTTGCAGGGTCGCTGTGACTTCTCAGGAAGGCAGTGCTTGTCAGGCACTTGGCACAGGGCCTGGTACATAGTAGGTGCTCAAGATACGGCTGAGGTTCGCTTCACTTGGTGTCATGAGGACATCGTGCCTCCTGGACCCTCTGTGCCCCGGGGCACTGGGTGGCAGCCTCCCTCCAGGATGAGGGTGACCCCTTATGTATCCTCTCTAGGGCTCCTGTTGAGGCTGCCCTTCCTGGACTCACCCCCAGACTCCCAATGCTATGAGGACCAGATTTACTGGGAGGTAAGATATAGCAAGATCCCTTGTAGCCCTGGGCTCTTTGCTGTCCCTGCCTTGCCACCCTCCTGGGACCAAACCTGCCTCCTTCCTTCCTCGCCTGTTTCTTCTCCACTGGTGCACACTGCTGTGCTGTGGCCTGCAACTGCCCGGCTCGACCCTTCCCCACCCTCCCCTGCCTTTCAGGTACCAGGTGAGCATGAGGATGTAACCCAGCGACCCCTGAACATGGAGGAGCCAGACACTCAGGCCTAATGTGCTGCTGGCGGTGCACAGGACAGCTGCTTTTAGAAGGTGGTGGGGAGCCACCGCTCAGCTGTGGAGCGCTTGCCTAGCATGTGGCAGGAGCTGGGTTTGATCCCCAGTATTGCAGCAAGACGATGATGTTTGGCTTCTCCTACTGGAAAGCCCTTCTTAGCTCCCTCTTCTGTTTCAAGGAAGAAGCTATGAGCCAGAGGAAGCCACCTGTCCCTAAAAGACACCTTCCCCTATGGGAAAAGGGTGGAGGACAGGGTTGTGCTTGCTCAACCAGCCACACATGTGGCTAGAAGGGGCTTCAGTGAAGTGCCAGGGGACCGCCCATCCACAGGCTCCACTTCCCAGGTACAGTGGAGCCTGAGGCAGGCCCAGCTGTGTAGGAGTGATAAACACCACGATCACCAAGGGTTCTGATTGCTTTTATTTGTGCCCTGGGAACAGGAGCTGTTCTTCACTCTAACTCACAATATTAAACCTCAGGGCAAAAAAGGGTGCAAGTGGTGACAAAATCCTCCCTCCCTGGGTCCCTTGACGTCCCTTTAAGATGCCATGTTCCACCAGATGGGTCCTCTCCAGGGACAGGGGGCCCATTCCTTCACAGAAATCCAGGATTGTCTTCCTAGTTCCCATCACTCTGGCCTTCAGTTGGGGCAGCCTCTGAGCAGAGCAAGGACAGGCCTCACAGACCTACAAAGGGCATAAGAAGCTGGAAGCAGCCATCGCCTAGGTCAGAGCTTTCAATTGCCTAGAGCTTTCTATGATAACAAACAGCCAGCTTCTCACCACCACTGACCTAGGTGCTATTTGTCCCGAGGCTGCAGAGGGACAGCCAGAAGGGTCTTCAGAGCAGGGAAAAGGAAGAAGGCTGGCCCAGAGCCTCTGCCGGCCTGAAGCCCTTTGACCAGCAGAGGGCGCCCTAGACCCAGCAGAAGAAACTGCCGTCTTCCTGGTTCTATCGTTCTTGCTCCTTTACCTATGAAAATACTTTCTGTAGCCTAATACCCTTCCTGTCTGCTTTAGTTCTGGTCTTCGGGCTTTCCAGCCATAGCTTAGCATAAACACCCTGAACCTCACTCCACATCAGGCAGATCTCTCATCCCACAGGGAGTCCCCTTCATTAGACTAGTGCCCCTTTCCCAGTGCTGCAGGACTGGGTCCCTTGGCCCTCTCCTTTCTTTTCCCCAGGCTTTGACAGCAGCTAAGCAAGACAATTTAGACCCAGGTGCCTCACTGCAACTGGAGGAACCTAGGCCGGCCCAGAGGCCAGTCACTGAGGGGTGCAGATGGGGAAGGAGAGTAGCTGAGGGGTTGAGTTCTGTTGCACCATCCCCTGGCACCTGGGTGACTATGCTCCCTTTGCTCCCTCCTTTGTGTGCACTCCTCCTCCCTGCACAGGTAGGTATAGTGGACATGAGGGCCAGATCCTGTGCCGAGGCAAAGGCTGACTGCTAAAATGGCAAAAGGGCTCCCAGGCACTGTCAGCCCCTGCTGGAGAGGAGAGCACTCAGAAGGAGTCTGCCCTAGGGGAGTGACAGCCTACAGCACTGCTCCAGCCTCTGAGCTCCTCCAACACTCCTCTAGTGGTAAGATCTGAGTTAGGTTCAGGATGTGACAGCCCTGTCCAGCCTCTTCTGGGTAGGAAAGCCATGGCTATCCAGTTTTTCCTGGCACCATTTCTTACCCTGTCCCTGTGCCTCTACTACTGATTCTTTCTTGACAAAAACTAAGGCTTTTCTTTCAGACCTGAAAAACTGGGCACCTCCAACCCAGAGTGGTTCTTGGTGGAAAGGCAACCACCTATCTCAATCCAGGGAGGTATCTGGACTGAGCCCATGGAGACCGGGCATGGCTCACTAGCTTCCAAGGGACAAAGGCTACAGGTCTTATGCTACAGCAATGTGATACAGCACAGGCCTGTAATCCCAGCACTCAGGAGGCTGAGGCAGGAGGATTACCATGGATTTGAGGCTACTCTAGACTACATAGTGAGTTCAAAGCCAGCTTGAATTGCATAGTGAGGCCTTGTCTCAAAAAGAGGGACAGAGGAGCCTGGGAGATGGCTCAATAGAATAAGTGCTTCCCTGGCAAGTGCAAGGGCCTGAGTTCAATACCCCCCCCCCAAAAAAAAGAGGGGCAGAGGCTGCAGAGATAGCTCAGAGGTCTAAGTGCCTGCCTAGCAAGTGCAAGGACCCTAGTTCGATCCTTGGTACTGCATGCCATGCCAGCCCCAAACCCCAGGCACACCCTGCTACATATTGAGACCCTGTAGTAAATAAATAAAATTTTAAAAGGGAGCAGTTCAGCCCCCAGGATGGCTTGCCAAGAGATCTTGGAGAAAGGAGAGCCAGGGTGAGGCCTGGCCCATGTAAGGCAGTCCTACTTATCTTGTAGCCAGACAGTTCCAAGCTCCATCATTCTCCTGATGCCCTCAATGGCTCAAATGGCACTGAGCACCACCACAAACCCTTACACCCTGGCCCCATTCTCTGGGGATTCTGCCCAGGGCTGAACCCTCCTAAATCACACCTTTGACTTTTCACTATTTTTCCTTTCCTTTCCCCCAGCTTTGCCTTAAATGCAGGGTCCTTTGTAGACTGTTCTGTTATGTCCACTTGAGCCACATTTAAGGCTAGGGTGTGGGGGGTGATCATCCACCCCCTCATTGCTATCAGAGAGCTCATGGGGGTGGAAAGACAGGTATCCTTGGAGCCTGGGTGAACAGGAGCTCGACCCTCCCCCTCTTGCCTGTAGCCCCTGCCTCAGTACTATTAGACCCACACACAGTGGCCCATCCATTCAGGCTGGGTCAACAGAGTGACAATGAGTAGGTCAAGGGGATGCCGGGGACAGGGGCCGAGGGGGCTCCTTCCTCACCCCTTCAGGACAATGAGGCTGTGCCCCTCCAAGACAGCCCCTCTGATCACCACCATTATTACTGTCAATGCAGGACAATCAGACACTTGCCCGTTCATGAACTCTTGTCTGTCCAGCCCCAATGCTTCAGCTCTGGGGACAGTGATGGACGAGGACACTAGGCTCCTGCTTGCCTCCAGGGGTCGGGCTGATGGGGAAGCCAGGTTGTCCTGGGGTCAGGGTGGAACCTAGCCAACCAGAGGCATTGCAGGCAGGCTCTCTGGAAGCAGCCACAGTGTCTGCCCAGCACGCGTGTGTTCCCATGATGGCAGCAACCCAGGCACATCTGTGTAGGAGACCCACAAGACTCGGGGTGTTTTTGTGCCTGCGTGGCCGAAGCCTCCTCGGCCCAAAGGGGCAGGAAGCTGCTGCTCTGACCTCGGGAGGATCCCGTGCTGCGAGCCCGCGCAGCCTGGGAAAAGCCCGTGATCCCCGCGATTGGGCTGCACATCACGGTGCGCCGTGGTCCGGCTCCTGCAGGAATTAGACACGGCGTGAGCATCTCCAGGGCCCGGCGGCAGCCGTCCTGGGGCAGGCACGCCCCGCAGCCGCATCCCCCATTGCACCCCAGAACTTTTCTCCTGCAGTGGGCTCTGCGCCTCCCCTTTGTCTGCTCCCGCCGCCCCCAGCCGGTGCCCGCGCGCCCGGGCTGTGCGCCCTCCTCGGCCGCGGGAACAATGCGGGCTATGCAAATGCCCAACGGCCGTGAGAACTCTGGCCGCCGCCCGGCCTCCCCTCCGCGGCTGAAAGGGGCTGGCGGCCGGGTCTGGGGGCGGGGAGCGGCCGCTGCATAGGGATGAGCTGTCCCGCGCCGCGGACAGAGCGCCATTGTCTGCGCCGCCGCCTCTGTTCCTGAGGAGTCCCCGGGCCGCGCGGGAAGGCAGAGCGACCGGAACCGGGTGGGGCAGGAGCGGTGGTCACCTGGCCCCTCACACCTAGGCCTCTGCCGCAGGAGCCTGGCTTTGTGTGCAGGCTGCTGTTTCCGGTAATGGCTGCTCTGCTCACTGGCTGGGCGGCCCTTTGCCAGTTCACTCCTGCCAGCCTCTGTCGCTGGGGCTGCCGCCTCGCACTCCGGCCCGTAGTGGGTGCGCTTCCCACCTCTCCTGCCTGGGGCAGCTAACAGCCCATCATGTCCTAGGCTTTCCCGTCCTGAGAAGGGCTGGATAAGCAAGAAAGCAGAGGTGCTGGTAAGGGAGGAGCAGGAAGGATTCCGAGGCTGGGCCCGGGGCTAGCTTGAGAGGCCTGCTCCCATGGCTTTGGCACAGCTTTCGTCTGCCTGCACGGGACATCGTCCCTTCTTCTGTCCTCCTTGTGGATCCATGGCCACATCACCTCAGCCCCATCCCAAGGTGCAGCTGTCCTCTAAGGTTAAATCTGGGAGGCGAAGATGAGAGGGAAGTTGGTGACAGGGGACCAGAATTCTGCCCCCTCCCTGGGCCCTTCTGCAGCTCCTCACCTAGCCACTCTCCTGTCCGGTTCTTTGGTCCCTCCAGAGCATTCTGAGAGCTGCCCAGCACTGGCAATCTCTCCAGGGACCCAAAAGCCACCTCTGAAAGAAACAAAGGAATACCCTCACTTTGGTTTGCCTGGGCTTTATCCCCCATGCTGTACTCTCCTCCCCCCTAGGGCTCCCCTCTGTGAGACAGTTGCAGGTGCTCAGCCTTGCTTGGGGTGGGTGTACCCAGAGGGTTGACCAGAACTCTGCCCTGATGGTGGCCCTTCCCTCTGGCCTGCATTTCTGTGGCCCTGCGGGCCTGCCCTGGGCTGCTCCTTGGGTCCTCAAGCAGGACCAGGCAAGCCCCACTTGGCTGAGGCTAAGAGAGGAAGTGGGCTTTGTTTCTGGCATCCTCTGGGTACTTAAGCTTGATTTTCCCACCCTGCTCTTCTTGGCAGGAGAGCCCTCAGCTGGAGGAGCCCCTCACCCCTGTGTCCCCTCCTTCCCTGCTCAGCACCATCCATCTCCGTCTCCCCAGAGCAAGGAATGTGGCTCCAGGACACTATGGAGCTTGTTCTCAATCCCCTTCTAGCTCATTTCACTCAGGCTTTTACAGACCTGCTTCCATCCCACGGGCTGCCGTCTGGGGTCTGCCTCTAAAGGGACAGACAGAGGCCCCCTCCTCCCCACAATTCCTCACGCTTCATTTTGTTCCAACACCAGGGAGGAGGCAGCACCATGGGGGGTCGGGAAACCCTGGTGTGGGAGCCTGGGGGGGGGTCCCCTTCTCCAGTCTCTCCAGCCACCCAGCCTGCCCTTTGCAGTGGCCTCAACACATCCATGGTGTCTGTGTTATTACCCATGCTGCAAGCCATCCATCCCCTCTCTACCCTTCCTGTCCATGCCCCACAAGCCTCGATTATTGGTGGAATTAGCACCAGACTTCTTGTTGGCAGTTGCTAATTAAGACCATTAATAAACATGGTTATTAATGTTGTGCCAGGCGGCAGCCACCAGTATCTATCACTGGCATCATTGGCGAGGTGCGGGGCTGGGGTGACTTGTGCTACCTCCATTTTGGAAAGAGTAGCTCCATTTCGCCCTTGCCCTCTTGCTGCAGGCCATGCCAGGTGAGGGTGGATGGATGCAAAGCTCAGAGCTGGGCTTTAGCATCCAGGGTGGGGTAGGGTGGGCACCCCCCTGAGCCCCTCTGCTTTCAGTGACTCCAGCTCTCCATGCCTGCCATAATTCCCACTTGCCTGCTGCCTTCACTGGTGATTTGCACTCCAAGGGCTAGGGCACTATTTCAGGAGGCAGTGAC